GGGGGTCCCCACTGGGGTGCCTGGCCAGTCTGGGTGAGGGGCTGAGGGCTGTTTTCAGGCTGACAGGTGACTGAAGCTCCCAACTGATCCTTTTTTTCATATATATATATATATATATATATATATATAATTTTTTTTTTTTTTAATTCTGGGCCAGCCTTAGCTCTGAGGCCTCAGCTGCTAAAAGCAGGTATCTGGTTTGTTTAGGTTCTATAATCGAAACTCTGTATCAACTCCAGCTCTGAGATCCCAGCCGGCTGAAAGCTGGTTTCTGGGGTTTTGTTTAGCTTCTATATTTGTTACAATGTTTCTTAAACTGCAAGCTCAGAGGCCGGCAAGGCAGGCGAGGAACGTTGCAGTCCTCCGTCACTGAAGCAAGCAAGCCTCATGTTCAGTTTAAGCTGCCTGGCTGCTGGCCGCCATCTTGGCTGGCAATTAATTTGCATATCGCCCTGATTAGCCAATGGGAAGGGTAGCAGTCGTACGCCAATTACCATGTTTCTCTTTTATTTGTTAGGATGAGTACAGAATTAAAAGGCCATGTTCAGCAGCAAGTATTTTTTTTTAAAAAAAGAGGTTTTAAAATTCTGAAAGAAAAAGCTCAATATATATCAATTAAGTAGTTTGGTCATTCATTCATTTTTTCATTCATTCAACAAATATTTGTTGAACACCTACTATGTGCCAAGCACTGTTATGGGTAATAAGGATATATCAGTGACTAAAGTAAAGTTCACCCAAATGAAGTTTAATTCTTGTGAGGTAGACACACAGATCATAAGCAATCATACAGTTAATGTAAACATGTGATAAATGCCAAGACAAAGCAGGATAAAGGAATTGAGCAGGATGGGTGTGAGTGGTGATTTTAGATAGTGTAGTTTAGATAGTAATTTGAATAGTAGGCTCTTAGAAGAGTTGATGACATCTTACACTTTATTGGGGTGATGGGAAGTGTCCTGCAAGTGTGACATCTCATATTGTTTTCATTTCAGATTGCTGCACATTGGGAAGAATATTAATTGTAACTTTCTCAAATGAGTTATAATGAGATAAATCAGGAGAGTAGGAACCCCAAGCCACGTCATATAAAGAAAATTTCAAAATATTGGCAATGTTGAGCCTGGATGAAACAGAGAGATAGCTTAGGAGAAACTTGATGGATTTTTTCAAATTCTTTAAGAACTCTGTGGAAGAGACACTGCATTTGTTCTATTAGGACTATAAGTTAGAATTTACAGCTATCAGCTAATCAAAGATGAAATAGGTTGGGTTTTTAAAAAATATATTTTTATTGATTTCAGAGAGGAAGGAAGAGGGGGCGAGAGATAGAAACATCAATGATTAGAAAGAATCATTGATCGGCTGCCCCCTGCATGCCCCTACTGGGGATCAAGCCCACAATCCAGGCATGTGCCCTGACCAGGAATCAAACCATGACCTCCTGGTTCATAGGTTGATGCTCAACCATTGAGCCCTAACTAGCAGGCTAGGTTGGTGTTTTAGGTATAGGAAGATTGACCACTTGATAGAGAGAGTGTGTAGGTGAAATGAGTGTCAGATAAATGGTTAGACCAGATGACTTTTACTATCCTTTCTGAAAGTCTTTGACTCTGTGACCTTTAGGAATGATGACATTATTACATCACAAAACATTGCATTTGGTGGCTTCTTCACTTCAGAGAATAGAATGTGAATGAGGTAGCCATTTCTGAGAAAGGAAGGTAGAGTCCTATGAATTTTTTCCCCAACTTATTATCAAATGTTTGATTTACTAAGCAATTCACTAATTGAATCCTTCTCAAAACCGGGTAAATTCTTCCACTGCTCTCTTCAAAGGGTCAGGGGGCAAGTTCAATCAAGTACTAAGGAAACTGGCAAAGCGTTGGACAAGTCATCTGGCAAGGAAATAAACATGCATTAGCCCACTTAGAACTGCTGCTTCTTTTTTTTTGGTTTCTGAGTGCCTGCTTCCTTCTCTGACAGGTTTGGTCAGATTGTGTTGGGGGACTGGAACTTAGTCCCAGAACTTTAAGTCCCAAGGTCCTTGGTTGAGTCCCTTACTCTCTCTTCTTTCCTCTGCTGCAGGAAATTTATCAGCACAAACCCACTGAGACCTACGTACCCCCGTTGCCTCAGAAAAAAAGGTTATTACCTAAGCTGAAGCCAGTCTTCTCTGTGACGCTGTTGAAGGATGCAAAATCCAAACAAGAACAACTGTTTAGGTGAAGTCCTGGCTGCTGCTGTTTTCTTTTTCTTTCCCATCACTTCCTTATTCATGTTACCATGTCTTTTCAATACAATTTAATACTTTTTGCTTGTTAGGGTATAGAAAGGTACAACTGTATGTTAATAACACGCAATCCCCAGTATCTTTTACACCCTAAGAGAAACTCCTTCAGAGCTAAGGTTTTTCACTAAGAAGGATTTTCAAGAGTGAAGAAAAAAATAGCCAAAGGTCTATGATTTGAGGAAACAGGAAAAAATCCGCTCCCACCCCCCTCAGTGCATGATAAGGGCTATAGCATAGGAACACTGTGCTATGAGATTTTATTTGAAACTAGTTCTATGAGCAACCTATATCCCGTTTGGAGAGGAGAGAGGAGATTCTGAGCTTTCTTAGAAGGTTTACAGGCTAGGTTCTAGAAGCCTCCCTTTCATGAACAGTAGTCCTACTCTGTACCAAGGAACACCTGTCGTCGCCTCCTCTCCTCCCCTGGAATCTGTGAGCGTAGTGACTGGTTCCACTAACACCCAACCCTGGGATTTACTAACTGAGCTTTCTTTGTTAAGGTTTTCCACCAAGAATGATTTCAAGAGTGAAGGGAAGTATTCAACCGTCTGCAGTTTGAGGGAGCAGAAAAATATGTTTCCTCAGCTCACCTTTGCTCAAGTCGATGGAAGAGATAAGAAAGATGGTAAGCACCTCTCTTTCAAAGCAGTGGCCTACAGGACTGAGATGTGGGCAGGAGGGGCAACCTATGAAGATGAGATTTAAGGGCAAATCGCCATCTCTCATGGAGGTTCTGGAGATTATTTTTCGTTGTAGCACAGAAGCTAAGAACTGATAGAGGCTCAAGGGGTGCTAGGTTTTGAATTCTGCTTAAATCTTCAAATTTCAAGATGCCATAGCACAGTGCTTCCCAAACTGCCTCACCTACCGCTTTAAAAGTTCTGGTATATAAGTTATTTGCCCTATTATTTATTTAATGATTTTTTTCTTGTCCTAATTAATACCATATCATTAACATGGGTTTGATATACTAATTGCATAGGTTTTTTTCCCCTGACATTTAATCAAATTCATAATAATTAAAATTTTAAATGTTTATGTATCACCTAAAACTACCCAGCAGTATACATATCACACGTGAGAAAAACTGTTCTAGAAGGGCCAAAGGATAAGTCAGTCTGTCAGTCTCAGAGGTCCAGAAGTGTCTTACCGAATGAGGCAGGACATTGGGGGGGGGGGGGGGGGGGAAAGAGGGGAGGTTGAGATAAGGTTGCATGGAATGGAGGAAGGTATAATAAGAATGCTCCTTACAAATGATCATTCATTTAAGAACGTTTATGGGGCCGTTATGAAGGGCCTGGGTTATATGAAGGGCTTGGGTTTTCTCCACTAGGCAGCTGGGACCCATTGAAGAATTTCAGAGCACTCAATAGGCAGTTGAGACTCAAAACCAACACACTTCGGGAAAAGGCTAAGAGGTATAAGAATATACAAGTGACTGTACCTTATAAGAATTACATGAATATCAATGTGGTTGTGGATGGAATCATTTGAGAGGGGCGAGGCTAAACGGGGAAGACCCTAAACGGGCAGTGCTTTAAACTGGGTTTTGAGGAAGGTAAGGAATCCAGAGCTACAAACAAGGTCGGGAACGGTAGTCCGTGCTCTTACTAAGAGTAAAGACCACTTGACTCTCCCTCCCAGTGGGTCGATGTCATGCCTCATGTTCAGTGTCCTTCTGGACCCTCGGGAGAGCCACACTCACAAGGTACCCTGTGTTTTGTTGCAGTCTCCAAGAAGTCGGAAAGGGCCATGCCGACCGGAAAGAAGGATTGGGAGCCGCTAACCCTTGCATCGCTCCTGGACATGAAGCCCACCAAAACCGCGCCCGGGGAAAGTGCCTTCCGCAACGGGAGGGTCAAGCAGTGGTTTCTAAACAAGACCTTGGTCATTACGTAAAAATAAACCCTTCGGGCCGATAGGCCAGAGAAGACGCTGTCCAGGGCATGTCAACCCAATAAAACCACATGCTGCCCACTGCAGGCATGGGCTGCCTGGTCGCTGAAAGGTGGGCCGGGGGTTCCGACCCGTCGCTGCAGCAGCGACCACCACGCGGCCGGGACCCGGCGCCTGGCCCCGCCCCCGCCGGCTGGGGGAAGACGAGAGGGCGTGGCCACGGCCCCAGGGGACCCGAGCGGTCGCGACAGCCGGGGAGGGCGGGCCTTCTCCCCGAGTGACGCGTCGGCGGCCCAACCCGCGCCAGAGCGCGGGGCCCGCCTTCCTGCAGCCTCTTCCGCTCGGCTGCGGCGCCTGGGAAGGTTGCGGTGGGTCTGGGCGCTGGGAAGTCGTCCAAGATGCTTAAAAAATTCGACAAGAAGGACGAGGAGTCTGGTACGCGCTGGGCTTCTGACGCCCACCCCCCGCCGCGGGGGGTCCCTTCCCCCGCCCGCCGCACCTGCTCGGGGGACTGCAGACCGGGGGCGTGGGCGCCGGTGTGCCGGGGGCCGTTCCAGCGGGGCCGGCCCCTAGCCCCTCCCCCGGCGCCGGACCCTCCCCCAGCCCGGCCGCGCAGGCGCCCCCGCGCCGCACCAGCCCGCTCGGCGGCCCCGCCCACGCCCCCTCCCCTCCGCCCCGCCCCCGCCCCCTCCCCTCCTCCGGGCGCCGCTCCTCGCAGCCGGCTCCGCCCCGCCCGCCTAGGGTGGGCTGCTCGCTGCGGCGGCGGGAGCCGGGGAGGTGGTGGAGGGAGGGGATGTGTGTGCAAGAGTAAGAGGCGAGGGGTGCTGGGCGTGCGAGGCCCAGAGCGAGTCTTGGGTCCCCCGGAGCGTGTGTGTGTGTGTGTGTGTGTGTGTGTGTATGTGAACTTGGAGGTGCCTTGAGCCTCACATTCTTCCCGGGGGTCTTTACACGGTCTGCTTCCCAGAGGTCCTACCTGGCACATGGTACATGGACCTTTTCATGCGTCCCAAAGTGAGTTGGCGCTGATAGCTTGGCCCCGAGCAGAAGAGGAAGATAACTAAGCCACCTTACAAACAAACAAAACAAAACTCGGTGTTTGATAGCTGCTCTCATAGAGGGTTGGGTTAGTGAAACCTCCACGGCCCCTTCCACCTTTCAGTGTATATGATGATCTGCTAGACTCTTCTTTTCTGCCTCACAGTGAATGTTAGAAACACACGAAGTAGTGCTCGCCTTTAGGGCACGCCAAAGGGCCCAACCATGATCTCATTCATCTTGGTCGTGTGGACATGACAGATACTTGTATAATATTCATATAAGAAGAGGGCAGGGCAAAGAAGACACTCATTTTGGGCAGGGTTCCTGCAGAAGTACAAGATCTTACAAGAAAGCAATGACAGGCGGCGTTTCCGAATAAAAATGATTACATTTAGTTTATATGCATAGTAGTGATGATGATCACTGTGATATAGCCAAGTGGTCGCTACCAAACATTCAGTATCCAGTAGAAAGTAAGTTTGTGCAGGGCAGCTATTAAAGATATGTTTTGTTTTATGCTGTAGGTAGTGGCTCCAACCCTTTTCGGCATCTGGAGAAGAGTACTGTCTTACAGGAGGTATGGCTTGGAAATATATGGTGTTTCTTCTTTTCCATTCCATTTTAGAATGGTGGGCAGAGAGCCCCTGGAATGCTGAGATCCAAAATAAGAATTAAGGAATATAACTGAGTTCAGAGAATATCGACTTGAGGGAAAAGGGTTTGCTTGTCAGAGGAGAGAGAAATGCGAAAAACAATCAGACTGCTACATGTTGAGAATTATGTATTTAATCCTCATGGAGGATGTGTTCATTGATTTTTAGAGAAAGAAAGAGAGAAACATTGATGTGAGAAACATCGATCGGTTGCCTCCTGTACAGGCCCCACTGGGAATCGGAAACCACAGCATTTTGGTGTACAGGATGACACGCCAACCAACTTAGCCACCTGGCCTGGGCCACATGTTGAGAATTTTAAATAAAATGCCAGAAGAGGTGCGTAGTGAAAGGTTATTGAAGGAAGTTATAGATATTAAACTCATTATATTCAGGTGATGTCAATAAATATTGTGATTCTTAACAGAGATTACAAAGTTGAAGCAGAATATCTAAGGGAAAGACAGTATAAAATGGGAAATCAAGGTCACATTTAATAAGTTATCATATATCATTATAAATGGAAAACTATAGTTAGTTAACATTACTTGTATATTGTTATTAATATACATAATAGTCTTTATTTTATTAAGGTTGATTTTCTGTAATCTGAGATAGAAAAAGTAAAAGATATATATAACAGTGATTTTTTTTTTTGTTTCCAGGCTCGTCTATTCAATGAAACACCCATCAATCCAAGAAGATGTTTGCATATTCTTACAAAGATTATCTACTTACTGAACCAGGTAAATTATTTTAATTTTTTTCAGAGTCGTGGCCTGGAATAGAAATACATAACATGTAGTAAAGTACTTTCTGGTAAGTATAATTATTTTTTAAAAACTCACTTATTTAAAAAAATGAACAATGTTTGATTAATAGAATAATATGTAAAACTTCTTGAGGACAAGGTGTGTGACATACTTTTATGCATGAAGTACTAAATCAGCAAAGCACATAGTAGATTCTCAACATGGATTTGAATGTAACAAGTGTTAGTTAATGTTAAAACATGTTGTTTAGAATGGTTCAGAGGTCTTTATGCTCCTCAAAAATATAGTGCAGAACCTTAGCCATATTCTAAAGAGATAGTGTACCCATTTTGGGGTCTGGGTGGGTATATATTGATGTTTTAAAGCTTTACGTTTAATATTCAGATTTTATATTTATTATCCCTACTCCACCATTACAATAATATGATTCGTCCTTAATGTCCGTTTCTATAAATGGGGATTGCAATAATATCTGTTTTATGAAGTGGTAGTGATTAACTGAGATAATAAATATAAAGCATTGAGAATAGTCCTGGATACATAGTAAGCATTCAGGAATAGTTTTCATTCAGTCATTCAGCAAATGTTTATTACTAATCTGCTGTCCTAGGCACTGTTTTAGACACTGGGATATAACCGACAAAACCAACAAAAATATTTGCCCTAAATGAAATAGCTTCTATTTGCCATTATTATTACTAATTTAAATTTTTAAATGTATTTTTTTTTTTTGTTCTTGTTGACAGAACATTTCATAAAATTTCTAGGGCCTTAGAAAATGTGATTTTGTTTCTTACACACAGACACACACACACACACACACACACACTCTCACACTCTCAGATGGTTTATATATGGTGCTAAGAAGACTGTGGTTTCCAATTTTAATTCCATGAGAATATTTTATCTTTACTATGCTTCATGACTGACAACTTCACCTAGAGACATAATAAAGTTTTGTATGCACATGGAGATTGAGCAATGAGTACATACTTTTGTTGTTGTTAATCCTCACCTGAAGATATTTTTTCCATTTATTGTAGAGAGAGTGGAAGTGAAGATATTATTTTCCATTGATTTTTTTTTTAGAGAGAGTGGAAGGGAAGGGAAAGAAAGGGGGTAGGGGGAGAGAGAGAGAGAGAGAGAGAGAGAGAGACATTGATGTGAGAGAGACATTGATTGGTTGCCCCCTGCACACGCCCCGGCTGGGGCCGGGGATGAAACCCGCAACTCAGATACCTGCTCTTGACTGAGAATCAAACCCAGGACCCCTTGGTATGCGTGCTGAACCTCTAACCACTGAGTCAAACCAGCCAGGGCCAAGTAGATACTTTAAAGTTCACAAAGCCATATCCCTCTGTGGTATCATATTGGAAACATTTAAGGCACAGTTAGTTTGATTTAACTTTTCATAACACACGTTGTGTCCAAGTTACCTGAACCCATTATATAAGCAGAGCTTTGAGTAGTTGTTGTTGGTTCAGAGTAGCATATACCTTTGTATTGGCCAATAGCTCTTTGATGGGCAACTCATGTTGAAACATTTAATTATCTTGATAAGGAACTTACCAAGCACAGGCTGATACATAAACAGGTTTGGGAATCTTAGTTGTTTCTTTTGCCTAGATCTTGGGGGAGCTTGGTGGAAAAAAACTTTTGAATTTCTACCAGAGTTAACATATTTATATGTTTTCTGAGTTTCAAGTCAAGTAGGCACTCAAGTTTTACCAATATGACTGAAAAGTGCCTGGCCTTCTAGGTATTCAGGAAGCAGTTATGAAAGGAAGAGGGAAAATCCCTTGCTGATGAGCAAGTTGGATATTCTGATTAAAGCGATTGTAAACTATTATACTTCGTCTTTCATCCGAAGCTTTCAAAGTGTTTCATCAAAATTGGCTTATTCTTAGACTCATGACAAATAGAGTGAAGATTACTTATATTCTGTGTAAAATTCAAAGTTCTGAAAGTGATTGGGCCTGACATTTTATCGGATGGCTTTAATGAAGATATTACATTGAAATGGTAATGTTTCAGGTAGCCTGTGATCTGCAGTGTTTTGACTATAAGTGAAATAGGTTATTTAATACCTTGTTACACACAAAAAATGTGGTTCTCTTTTATTTTTTTAAATATGTTTTTGTTGATTTCAGAGAGGGAGAGAGAGAGATAGAAACATCAATGATGAGAGAGAACCATTGATTGGCTGCCTCCCGCACGCCCCCCCACTGGGGATTGAGCCCGCAACCTGGGCATATGCCCTTGAGCAGAATCGAACCCAGGACCCTTCAGTCCACAGGCCGATGCTCTATCCACTGAGCCAAACTAGCTAGGGCCCTAATAGTTTTTCACAGTTCAATATTTATTATGTTCCAATGAGAATGACAGGCTTTGTGATGGGCATTGGATTATAGAAAGGTATTGGGTATGATCTCTGCTTATAGGAAGTGTAATAATAACATTGCAATCTGATTAGGGACTCAACTTGCCATCATCTCTACCTCCTTGTAAATCACAGTTCTTCAGGGATATTAAAACAGTTCCTGCTGTAAAGTTAGAGACCACTATTCTAGAACTTTTATAGCACGCTGTGTGATACTGAATTATTTTAAGTAAGGAGCAGATAAATGGCTATGTCAGAAAAAGCAAAAAGGCCACTGTTTACAAACAGATTTTTTTTCCTGCATTCTAAAAGAATTTTGCAAAAATAAAGAGAAAAATCCTTAATTATTGTTTTCAATTTTACTTAGGGGGAACACTTTGGAACTATAGAAGCCACAGAAGCCTTCTTTGCCATGACTCGATTGTTTCAGTCTAATGATGTAAGTCCTTTTATTTTTATCCCTTTAGGCTGAAAAAGCTGCTTTTATTTGTTTTCCTTGGGGAACTCAGAGTGCTCCAAATTAGGGAAGGTTGCTTGAAATGTTTAAAATTACTTTAAAATTGTTTATTTTCCTAAAATGTTCATGAAAGGACCTATGAAAATGAAAGAATGAAGTCTATAGTATAAAGCTGCTCACCCACGCGTCTACCATGCAGTCATAGAGGCTGTCACTACCCAGCTTCTGGCATGACACTGCCGAAGTGAACTGACTGGCATGGGAGTCAGAGACAGAGCTTCCACAGCTCTGCGTTCTCAGTCAAGTTTCTGGTGGGCCTGGGGTTGCCGTTGGTTAGCAAGGCTGGCAGTTGAGAAGAGCTGGGTGCAGAGTGGGAAAGAGGATATGGAGTGGGCGGGAAGAAGAGTGAGGACAAACGAGGGCTGCCAGAGCCTCCTCCTCTGTCTCTCATTACCTTAGACCACCCGACTTTCAGAGCACAGTGGATGCTGCTCTCCTCCTGTCTTCTGTGGCACGTATTTCTCTTTGCCCAGCTCTAGCGCAGAACCATACAGGGAAGGGGATTCTGGAATATGTACTTTCCACCTTTCTGGTGACATAAGTTGTCCAAATCTTGGCAGTCCATTTGGGAGGTATTGCATATCATCACTGGCCACGTTTTTTGTCTGACCCCCCAGGACCTTCTGGGATTTGAGGCTGGTTGTATGTCTAGATGATGAGAAGTTTTGGGGTGGGTCCTCAGGAACACCCGCAGTCCCTTTTAAGGCAACTATCTCAGGGGAGGCCATTACGCATTCTTCAGGCAAAGGGAGATGATTTTCCTCAGACAGAGGATGGAGAACTACTTGCACTTGCAAAGGAGGCTTGGTGGAATTTAAGGGTTCAAGGTACTCAACTGCATCAGAGTCTGCCCATATGTCTCCATTCCAATTTTTAGGGCCCCAACTCCTTCCCAGTCAAGGTCCTAACTTTTTTTTTTTTTTAATATATTTTATTGATTTTTCATAGAGAGGAAGGGAGAGGGATAGAGAGTTAGAAACATCGATGAGAGAGAAACATCGGCCAGCCGCCTCCTGCACACCTCCCTACTGGGGATGTGCCCGCAACCAAGGTACATGCCCTTGACTGGAATCGAACCTGGGACCTTTCAGTCCACAGGCCGACGCTCTACTCACTGAGCCAAACCGGTTTGGCTCAAGGTCCTAACATTAACATAAGATGCCCTACAAGGGTGTGAATTGAATTTGCATTGTAATTTGGCCTGCAGAGTATGCCTTTCAGCAATCTCTGCCCTGTGTCCATATGACATAGGTTTCTTATTAAAGCAACATAGAACATTTCTAGTCACTTACCCAGACCTTGAGCTGTGAATTTAAAACTGTGAGCTCATTTTCTTTTACCAAGTTCTTCAGTGTACCTAGAAGCAACTAACCCATTATACAACTCATTTTTACAAAAATGTTCTATGGCAACAACTACTGGGTCAAAGCCTTGTCTTTTATAGGTTCTTTGTTATGCTTGTCTGGGTGGTAATTTAAGTATTTTGCCACTGCATGCCATAGACTGCTAGTGTCCCCTTTACCACTGGAAACAGGATCATTAATGGCTTTTATCAACTCAGAGAAGCAATTTAAGGTTCATATCCTTAAGGTCCTATTTCCCTTTAACCACTCCCTGTACCAAAAATTCAGTGTTTAATCAGGAAAGCAGAACTACCATGACTATTATAGAACTAGTGGCCTGGTGCACAGGGCGGTGGGGGGGGGGAGAGGTGTCCCTCAGCCTGGCCTGTACCCTCTGCAATCTGGGACCCTCGGGAGATGTCCGACTGCCGGTTTAGGACATCCCTCTCGCAATCCAGGACCACTGGCTCCTAACCGCTCACCTGCCTGCTGGCCTGCTTGCCCCCAACTGCCCCCCGCCACCAGTCTGCTCACCCCCAACTGCCCTCCCCCTGCCAGACTGATTGCCCCCAACTGCCCCCCTTGCTGGCCTGCTTGCCCCCACTGCCCCCCCACCAGCCTGCTCGCCTCCAACTGCCCCCCACCCCGGCCTGATCGCCCCCAGCTGTCCCCCTGCCAGCCTACTTACCCTCAACTGCCCCCTCCACCAGCCTGCTAGCCCCCAAATGCCCCTCCCACCAGCCTACTTGTCCCCAATTGCCCCCCCCCCCCCGCCCGCCTGCTTGCCCCCAACTGCCCCCCCTGCTGGCCTGCTCACCCCCAACTGCCCTCCCCTCCTGGCCTGATTGCTCCTAACCGCCTCTGCCTAGGCCCCGCCACCATGGCTTTGTCTGGAAGGACATCCGGAAGGTCTCCTGGAAGCTCTCCCGGTCTAATCAGCATATTACCCTTTTTTTAGTATAGATTGTTATTAGAGGAATTAGAATGCTAGGCATTTCAAGCTATTGGAGTAGAACCAAGGAGAAGGACTATTATAAAAGTTACGGAAAAAGAACCCACTGAAAGGATGAACATATTTGCCATTGATACCTCTGATAAGGGGTAAATATCCAAAATTTATAAAGAACTTATAAAGCTCAACACCAAAAAACCCAAACAATCCAATTTAAAAATTGGCAAAAGACGCGAATAGACACTTCTCCAATGAGGACATACAGATGGCCAATAGGCATATGAAAAGATGTTCAACATCACTAATCATCAGAGAGATGCAAATTAAAACTACAATGAGATATCACCTCACACCTGTTAGAATGGCTATCATTAATAAATCAACGAACAACAAATGTTGACCAGGATGTTTGAATGTGGAGAAAAGGGAACCCTTGTGCACTGTTAGTGGGAATGCAAACTGGTGCTGTGAACAGTATGAGTTTTCTTAAAAAATTAAAAATGGAACTGCCTTTTGACTCAGTGATCCCACTGCTGGGAATATATCCTAAGAATCCTGAAACACCAATCAGAAAAAATATATGCACTCCTATGTTCATTGCAGCATTATTTACAATAGCCAAGATTTGGAAGCAGCCCAAGTGACCTTGAGTAGATGAGTGGATAAAAAAGCTGTGGTAGCTCTCACATTGAATCACTCAGACCCTACTTTTGTCTTCTCTTTCTCTCTTTTAAGCCTTCCTCTCCCACTTTTAAGGACTCTGATATCATTTTGTTAGGCCTGCCTGGATAATCAAGGATATTCTCCCCATCTCAAAGTCAGCTGATTAGCAACCTTAGTTCCATCTGCAACCTTAACTCCCTCTTGCCATTGACCATATATATCCACAGGTTTGAACAGTAGATGTAGACACTTTTGTGGGCTGTTATTCTGAGGGAGAGGGGGGCGTTGTGGGTTGGTGAGTGATTGAATGAGTGAGTGAGTGGGTGAGTGAGAACACCTACAAACCAGTGAAAAGATTGTTCTAAGCTGCACAGTAGCTTAACAGGTTATGTAAAAGTAGCAAGATTTTTTAAAATGACCAAATATGTTTTTACTTGAGGAGAAGGGACATGTGTAATCCCTGACTCCACTTTTGATCGGAAGAGTGAGATAATAAAAGTTGAGTTTATGGAAGACTAATCAGGAAACAGAGCACCAAATGCTTCAGAGAAAGAGGAGACTGGAGGTAGCAAGACCCACAGAGGAGACAATTGTGAAGAGATCTGAGTATTAGGGATAATGGTCTGAATTAAAGAGAAAAAGAGATAAATGTGAGAGACACTTCAGAAAATGACAGAATGATGATGAGGAATAAAGAAGAGACAGGAATCAAAGATGTTTACAAGATTGTGAACCCAAGAGATTAATGAAGAAACCAAGAAGTGGGAAGTGGAGCCAGTGTTCACATATGAAAGACATAAGCTTGAGAACACAAGATCACTAGGTAGAAAAGTTGAGATTTATCCAACCAGACAGAGTTTAAATAAGGAAACAGGACAGGAAACCATTATCTTAAAAAAAAAAAAAAAAAAAAAAAGCTGTGGTACATTTACACAATGGAATACTACTCTGCTGTAAAAAGGAAGAAAATTTAAATCTTTGTCACAGCATGAATGGAGCTGGACAACTTTATGTTAAGTGAAATAAGGCAGTCAGAGAAAGACAAGCACAGTATGATTCACTCATATGTGGAATCTAATGAACAAACTGGACTTCCAAGCAAAATAGAGACAAACTCACAGATAGAGAGCAGGCAGACAGCTCTGGTGTGTGAGAAGGTGTGTGTGTGTGGGGGGGGGGGGGGCGGGTAAGGCGGGGAGGTGGAGGGAGTGAACAAAAAAGAAAAAGAGAGAACTCATGGACATGGACTACAAGTGTAGTGAATGGGGGTGGAGGGAGTGGAGGTGGAAGAGGGCATAGAGGGGATAAAAGGTGGCGAAAAAAATAAAATAAAATAAACAATTATAAATAACCCCCCAAAAGGTATGGAGGGCCGTTGCTTCTTTGTGGCTGTGAATATGTGGGGCAAGTATCTGGTGGTGGGTCTGTGGTTGCTGTGGCTCAGAAGATGGGCAGTTGGAAGGAGGAGCTGGATATGGAGCAGGGAAGAGGTTGCAGAGCAGGGAAGAAACAGAGTGAGGACAAACTTGAAGCCTCTAGCACAGAGGTTGTATTAAAAAAGAAGGCATGACAGAGTGTTCTAGGAAATGAATTGCGGAAATGTAGGATTGTTTGACAGGACAGATGGCCCTTGAAGTTAGTGGTCATGAGTTTAAAGTATTACCAGGTAGCATGGTGAATTTTGTCTCCAGTTACAGGCTTCAGGTTAAGGCATGGAATGGTTAGGGTTGGGATTTTGCCAAGTTAGTAAACAGAGAGAGGTGCAAAAAAGTTGAAAAATTGTATTGACTATCAAATCTGTGTTTGGTTAGGAGGCAAGTAAGAAGAACAGGGACTGATTGAAAAAGTAAAACATTGATAGGATCAGGGTATAGGTCCTGATGGAATGAAAAGAGTGGTTGGAGTCAGGAGTGGTGGTTGGAGAGTGAAATGCTTGGAAATGAAATTATGAAAGGGATACCCTT